TAGTATGTAACCACAGTGTAAGTACACATTGGTACATAGTATCTACAGCTGTAATGTTTGTGTAACTACACATATGTAACAACCCACTGAATGGTATGTGTAAGTAGAAATGTGTAACAGGACATTGGTAACAACACTTTTTGGTAATGAAAGTACAAATGTGTAACAGGACTAACAGCACTTTTTGGTAAAGAAAGTGTTACACTTTATATTAGATTTATCATGTAATTACTCTGATGTTACACAGCAGTGGCCAGTAAGTTAGGCTTTACATATAAATTGTGGTTGGTGTCCAGAATGTTACACTTTATATTAAGTGGACAGTTCCTGAGGAGTTACCTTGTAAGTACACTAGTATTACAGTGGTGCACCAACTCCTCCCACTTTACATATCCCTAAACCTACCCATCTCCACCCCCTGGATCCCATTTCCACCCCTAAACCTACCCATCTCCGCCCCCTGGATCCCATTTCCACCCCTAAACCTACCCATCTCCACCCCCTGGATCCCATTTCCACCCCTAAACCTACCCATCTCCACCCCCTGGATCAAATGGTTCCAATTACTCTTATACATACTGTTGTTACAAAATGTAGATATATAGGTCCTATTACACATTTGTACTTACACAAACCATCCTGAGGGTTGTTACATGGGTGTAGTTACAGAAATATTACAGCTGTAGATACTATGTACCAATGTGTACTTACACTGTGGTTACATACTACGTACACATTTAGTTAAGTACACAAGTACACACATGTAAGTACACAGGTATTAGGGGCACTTAATATAAAGTGGAACCGTTATAGTTCTACTTTAGCAGCATTCTTGTTATGTGGTTTGTAGGCAGCGTAATATGTGGTGCAGGTAGGAGTGTGTGTGGTACTGACCGGCTGGTGGCGCGTGGAGCTGAAAGTGTACTGCACTGAGTGAGGTGGGTAACGGCTCTGCTCGCTACTGAAGGGCCCCTGGCTGGGGGGAAAGCCTGAACTAGACATGCTGCAGCTGTCTGGTGGGGTGCTGGAGGCTCAGACGGGGCCTGGAGCACTGCTACTCAATCACGGGCTCAACGTTGGCATGACTGTGCTGCTAAACCACCTGAGGAAGAGAGAGAGAAAGAGGAGGAAACATCAGAACATTTCAAGAGCCAAGGAGTCTTGAGTACAAACTCTTTCCATGACCAAGCAAGTTTTTAAAGGTCTCAGATCACAATGTGTGACCAATTGGCAG